TTTCCGTCTGAAAATGCAGTAATCTTTTTTGGTGCTTCTTTGTCAGGCACTGGGAAAGGAGGTAACAGCATCTGGGGCAAGAAGTTTGAAGACGAATTCAGTGAATACCTAAAGGTATTTCTGTGCTCTCAATATGCAGTTATGTTTTCATCCAAGTTTTCTTTACAGGTTGGAGAATGATCAGCATTGTGTTGTGCTGTATTAAATGCTTCTTTTGTAATTGTAAAGCAAAGTCTAATCCTGCAATAGAGGGATAGAATGCTTGTTATTAAACTAGGAACAGGTACTTCTGTACTTGGCAAGTTAGGTTTGAGGGTTTTCATCACTGAAAACAGAAGAAGAAGAAACTTGTGACGAAGTATTTTTCGTACACTGAAGGCAAGGAAGTGATTTTTCTTTGTAAGAGAGTTTGAGGAGCTAAATGTGGACTGTGATGGAATATCTTAGCAACCAAGGTATGGTTTTAATGATGGTATTAAGGCAGAGTCCTAATTCACAGAGCACTTTGTATATGTTACACATTTGTGAAAGCAAGGCTTGTTTCATGTGGACTTTTTTCCGCTTTCAGCACAGTGTCCGTGGGGTGGTTTCAATGGCAAACAGTGGACCAAATACCAATGGATCACAGTTCTTCATCACTTATGCCAAGCAACCGCACCTTGACATGAAGTACACTGTGTTTGGCAAGTAAGTGACCCAACTGTATGCCTCCTCACTGTAGTGATCTGTGATGGATCTGAGTATTTCAGGACACATGCAATGCAAATTTGGAAGCTTCTGGTTCTAAAATCTTTAAAATATTGGATGTGTATATTTAAATGTATGTTCTTTTACTGTCAGCAGAATCAGTTGCTCCAAAATGCTGTCCCCTTTTTCTTAGTAGTAGTAGTAGGGAATTAGTAGTAGGGAATTCAGTGGAGAGAGGTGTATTAAAAATTCCCTCAGGAATGGAGCTTCCCCCCGACACGCACGCACACACACACAGAGGGAGTTACTCCAGCATGCCTTTTAATCCCTGCCCATACAGCAGGCTTATTTGAAGCCAGCTCCAGAAGAGCCCAATACACAGTTGCAGAGTTTACCCAGAAGCAAGAATCTGATCTGGGATGGAATCTGGGGTGGGTGTGGTAGTGACATGGTAATGTTTCTGTTTAGTTGGAACTTCCTGTTGGTCAGATTAAGATTTATGGAGTTGACAGTATGTAAACTCAGGTGAGGTTGAGGTGCATCATTATTTTAAAACATTCTGATGTTAATAGAGACTACTGATACTATATCATCCTTAAAGCAACTGCTTGAGTCTTTTAGATACTGCTTTTTCTATCTGGGAATCATGGTAATGTCTTTTTTTCCAGTTGTTAAAACTCTCTAGTGTACAAGTGAATTTGCTGAGGAAAAAGTTGCCTTTTATTAAATGGAATTAAATATTTAAAGGAAACTACTGAAATGTGAAAACATATTTTCTGCTTCTTGTTTATTGACATTTAAGTGTTTCTTTTTCTTTAAATTTCTGAGTTTGTTTAGAAGTGTGTTTGAAGGTAGGTTTTTTTAGACCTCTTTCTTACAAAAGAGTAACAGCTCTGACAGATGAACTTTGCCAGATGAACTGCCAGTGGCACTTCAAAATAGTCTTGCCCCAGTTGCAGTACCAGCAGAGCAGCATATGTGTCCCTATTGGTCCACAGTCCAGTGTCCTAGATTCAAAGAGGTGATGCATCTGACTGAATTGAACTGTGAACAGCACACGTTTTCTGCCCATTCATTACTGGGCAGAAAAAACCTGCCAAGACTTACCAGAGCTTTTTAGAGAAAAAAGTAAGAGATATATTAGAGCAATCTCTCTTGACACTTCTGCAGCCGGAGCAGGAAATCTGAAGGTATAAACCTGTTTGAGTCATTAGATTTACACAGTTGTTAACGATTCTGTCCAATCTTGTCTTTGACTCACAAGGTTAGAAGTGATAATCTCACATTTGGAAATTGATTTTCCAGCCATAGGATTTTAGGAAGTCACAGTGAGGTTTGGTATGGCCAGTGTCTTGCTGCTGTTTAAGCCTATACTATGATAGGTCAGTCCTGCCTACCAGGAAGTGCAGCCAGGGTCTTTACACGGCTATGGTTGGTATAAAATATGATGATACTGTCATGTCAGTGGGAGTTACTTGTATAGAATCTGTCATGGATGCTTACCATTTCCTTTCAAAAGACATTATGTGCCATACATAATGTATTGACTGTGTTACTTGTATCATTTGCTTCTGAAGTCCTTGCCCTGTGACACTTAACTGTAAAGTGCTTTGAGATATCTCAGTTATGAAATTTAAATCATTAATAGAAGGTGAGTCCTGGCACTTCTGCTTTTCTTCCAGAGTTATTGATGGCTTGGAGACCCTGGATGAGCTGGAGAAGCTGCCTGTGAATGAGAAAACCTACAGACCTCTTAATGATGTTCGCATTAAAGACATTACAATTCACGCCAACCCTTTTGCTGTGTAGCTGCAGAGTGCTTCGACACATTCTGTAGGGACAGATCAGATTGACTGCTGGATTATGGGGTTTAAAGTATCTTTCAAAAGGGTTACCTGAGGTGGATCATACCTTTGCTCATTGAAAACGGGATCTTCAGGAGCTGTGATGTTTAAGTGTTGTCACAGAGGAATCTGGTGTTTTAGAAGCCAGTTTTCCCAGAGTATCTTCCAGGATTTTGATTTTTAAACATTGCTTTTTCTACTGGTAAAATAAAGATGTGAAAAGATACGTTTTTTTGCAAATATTTTTCTGCCTTAATTTTCTTAGTGACACTGTGTTGAAACAGTGTCCTTTGCTACAATTTCATGCTAATGGTTTTTTGACCCTTCCTTGTGTAAATTCTAGCCTTCCTTCCTTTGTTGGTATTTAGAAAAGTGAGTAAGAGACACTGGTTTTTTCCCCTAGGTGAGAGCAGTGATGTAGATAGATGAAGCCTTTCTCTCCTAGGGGATTAAAGACCATGTTTAGAGAAGTGCTTGCTCTTGTCCTGCTGCATTGAGATGGTAACCTCTTCAGCCTCCCCAAAGTGTGGACTGGAATCAGTAGTTTTTACCTCTGGCACAATGCTTTTAATAGGAAAGAGTAAGTGTTTGCATCTTTACAGAGCTGTTGATCAAAACTAGGTAACCATGGGTTTACTGTAACTTGATTTACATCACTTTATTGCACAAGCAATGGGGTAAGCACAACAGAAGAGTAGTGACTAAAAGGCTGTGGTCAGGCTTCTAATCAAAAATATCCAGATCCACCTGAAATCAGAAAAGATACCTGTGGCCAAGATGATGTTGATCAAATGAGAGAGCTGTTGTTCAGTCTTCTTTGAGACCAAATGTTGTTGAACTTGGATAATTCCACAAGAAGGTACCAAGATACTTGGACTGTTGAGTGGTAAGGAAGAAAAAATGCATGTATACATATGTGGGGGTGTGTGTATATTGCTGATCCTGTGTTCAAGGCAGTACAGAAAGCATATAATGACTTAAGCAGTGAAAAGTGAATGATTTGTAGACATCAGAAAGGCAGTTCTGCACCTTGGGCATACTGGGAAAAGCCATGTTCTACTCTTCCTTGTTGTAGATTTAAATAGCGCATTACAGTATCACAGTATCACAGTATGCTGGAGATTGGAAGGGACCTCAAAAGATCATCTAGTCCAATCCCCCTGCCAGAGCAGGAACACCTTAACGTTACACAGGAATGTGTCCAGGCCTTTGAATGTCTCCAGGGAAGGAGACTCCACAACCTCCCTGGGCAGCCTGTTCCAGTGTTCCGTCACCCTCACTGAGAAGAAGTTCCTTCTCAAGTTTAAGTGGAACCTCTTGTGTTCCAGTTTGCACCCATCCCCTTGTCCTATCATTGTTTGCCACTGAGATGGCTCCATCCTTGTGACACTCCCCCTTTATATATTTATAGACACTTATAAGGTCACCCCTCAGTCTCCTCTTCTCTAAACTATAAAGACCCAGCTCCCTCAGTCTTTCCTCATAAGGGAGATGCTCCACTCCCTTAATCATTTTGTCATCCCTTTGTTTTTGTAAAGCAGGAAAAAATCAATTCCCACAGAGGTTCACTCTGACAGTGTAATACGTAGAGGGGAGAGGGCATATTTGTAGTTCCAACTGTGCGTGGCCAGGGGATAGTATCTGCATCCAATTCCTGCCATTCTGGTCTTCTCCCAGATCCTCTTTGGCCTCAAGGCAACATCACTTGGCAAAGTCCATTCTCATACATATATGCCTTGTAATCCTTGAGAGGTCCAGGTGCAGCTGACTTGCAGTCTGCTTCAGACCACTATTTCTCATTTGAGACTTTGCCTCCTAAAATAAAGAGGAGAAACGACTTGCAAGAGAAAAGCAAAGGCATGCCTTTGAGCATGGGTTAATCAGTACTCTGTATCTGGGACAAAGTTTCTGTGTTCCTTATGGAGTGCTGCTTAAAGCTCCTAGCCCTTGCTTCTGACTTAATACATTTTACTGTAATGCTTCAGTCAGTCAGGTAAAGGATTTAATTATTTTAGCTCTGTGCTCTTTCTGTCTCTTCCATATAACCAGTGGTAATAGCAAGTGGACAGAAGCATGCAGCTGCACGTTTAACTGACAGTACCGTCATGCAGAAGGAAAGACATGCTGGAAACTTGCCTGTGATGCAAAGGAACCAATAATTTAAAATGCTGACATCTAGCACTGAACTGGAAACCATTTCAGGTCTCTTTTTGGTTTTTTGGCTGTTTTTTTTCCCCTCCCCAAGAAGAAGGCTGTTTTACCGAATGCGTGAAATGCAGGGACACCACGCAGTTGGCTCCGGAAGATAAATTTAGATCCTTTCTTTCTTCTGTAAAGCTGTGTATTGAGAGTGATTTTATGGGACAGGATTGCGTACTAACTTCTCAAAATTCTATTATATCTGTTTTCCTGTTTGTGGCTCTGAAACTCTCCCAGGTTCTCTCTGAGAACCTGGAATACAACAGGAAAATGAATGGCGGGGTTAGTCCTTTGCACTTGTTGAAGAGCAAGCAAGATGGAGAGCAGGCAGTAGCCCAGCTGTGCAAATGTGTGGCTCTGGCAGTTGCTGGGTATGGCATACAGTTTAGTTCTTGCACTGTCAGCTGTTGTGTTACCAGCCATTTGGACTTTTGTGATGTGTCTAATCCTTTAAATAAAAAGTTGCAGACTGGCTGATTTTGTTGCTGTTGACTTGTGCTTTATAAACTCCTGTTTACTCCCATCAGTCTGGTCTTTTCTCACAAACACTAGAGCCACCAGGTGAGCTCTGTCGAAATAAATCTACCCAGGCATAGAAAAAGTGTGTCCCTTAACACAGTAGTCTTACAGTAGGACTGAGATGGAGGGTCTCATCATGTGTATTCTAGATTATCTCTGGCCTTTGCTGGCATTCAGAAAACAGTAGGTAAAGTTTGTGTTAGAAGTCTGTCATGTTGGGAGCAGTGCTTACACCAAGCTGGAGAGCAATGGACAAAAAAACTAACGGTGCATTATCTATGGAGAGCGACAAAGTTGCACGTGTCATATACATGCTATGTGTTGATCGCACAGGGTCAGCTGGGGAAATAAAAACAACAATACTAAGAGTGAGGAGGGTCATTTATCAGAGGTGGAATTGTTTCAGAAAGTTTAGCGCTTCCCAGATTAAAAAAATGATTGGGCTTTAGGGAACTGATGTGAATAGGCTGTTGTAGTGTTTCAGGACTGTTATATCCTCAGATGCTCTTTTTGCACCTGCATGAGATTACATGAGGTGTTTCATTGTTTGATGTGGGTTTGGAGGACCCAATTTCTGGTGTAATGTTTGGATAGCTCTGCTGGTGGAGAGAGGGCTGCAGTAAGGCACAGGGGAGGTGAGAGGGGTGGCTGGGACTGTTGTGCGTGCAGTAGCTGTGAGCAACAGAGGAAGCGTGCGTTAATCTTGCAGGTTTATGTATTTTTCTGGACAATCTTGGTGCTGTTCCAGATGCGTCCTTGAAGCAGGACAACCAGGAGTGCAGAGGATGATGTGAATGGCCACCTATCTGTCAGAGAGGAGATGCAGTGAGTGCAAGAGGTATAGACTATTTGTCAAAGTTTATTAACTTCTCAGATAGAGTAAGTTCTTTTAGCATAAGATGTGAGGAGGCTCTGGCAGTCTTTCTGCCTTGTGTTGTTTGAGGGTGGGGATTGTTCTTTTTCTGTAGGACTTAATCCCTCTCCCCAAACAATAGTAAATGAAGTTAATGAACCTATGAGATCCCTGTAAATGTGCCTTGGTGAGAATTGTCTGCTACCATCTCTCAAACTAGGTATTTACCGTTCGAAGGAAGCACAGTCTATAATAGCCTCAGTGATAGCTCGTACTCTGTTAATTTTGTTTGCTTGTAGTATTGGGTTTTTGGTGGTTTGTTTTTTTTCCTAATAGCTGAGTAATTTCACAACTTCTGTGAGTGAGAGTTCTTTTCTTTATAGATGAGGTTGTTGCTATTTTGGGCAATGGTGCTTATGAAAGAGTCGTGGAATGCATTATTAATCATGAAGAGTGAGTATTGAATACAAGTAATTTTTCCTACTCACAGTGTAGTTCATGAAGTGCTTTCTGATCATCCCAGGCTGTACCTTTGCTTCCTCTTTTGCTGCGCCATGTGTACTTCCTTAAGGCTGCTGCTGCAGTTCCCAAACACAAGCGTCTGTTAGTACATCATGCTAAACCCAGCGCCTTGACAGGAGGGTTGTGCAGCACTGGGGGATGATGTCATGGGTGCTCCAGCCTGGGGGGTCAAGGGCTGGCAGGGGGAGGTGACCTGGACGATGTGGGATGAAGCTGAAGCCCCGTTCTGGGCCAGTCCTGGGGCCTGCACCGCCCACCCCAGGTCTGTGTAATAAAGAAGGTCTTGGATCTGGGGTCTAGCAGTGAGCATCTTGTAAATCAAGAATCTGGTTTGTGTTTGATGTCAGTTTTGCTGTGTGCAGAGTATGAAACTAGGTTGTCTTTCTCATGGCTGTAGAAGGCACTTGACCCCTCAGTTACTTTTTCACTACTAAAACAGGAGGTGGCGTGTCATTTATGACCGCGGGTCCTGTTTGTTGGGCTGCAAGATGTGGAAGTTTCCCCAGCAGTAGCCCAGCATCTATAAATACAAAGGGGAAGTAAATGGGGCCTTTAACCTTTAAGAATACAGATATATCAAGTATGTTTGCACAATTGAAAGTTGTGTTTTTGCACAGATGAGCCCTGGTTACACTGTATGTACTTAAAGAAAATAGCTTTTCTGATAAAGCTGTCGTTGCCGTAAACAACATAGATGGTAATAATTACTGAATTTCATCCTAGAATCGTGGAAATGTTTTGGGTTGGAAGGGACCTTAAAGATCACCTTGCTCCAACTTGAAACTCCTCATTGTTCTACCAACTGTTAAAACCTGTCTTTTCAGGAGAAGCAGACATGTTGCTGTGAAAACAGTCAGAAACGTTGACGGGTTCTCTGAAGCGGCTCGTGCAGAAATAAGAGTACTGGAACATTTAAATGCATCAGATCCCAGCAATACACAGTACACAAAGCCACCTGCACTTTGTTCTGCTTTGAGATTCCTGTGCCGTCACCTTCTGTAATATGCAGCGTCTGTACCTCCTTGTTACGCACCCTCCTGCCGCAACACACGCGTTTTCCTGCTTTTGTACTCAGTGTGCCCAGATGCTGGAGTGGCTTGAGTACACGGACATGTCTGCATTGTTTGAGCTACTGGGGCTCAGCACCTTCGACTTTCAGCCACTGAATGTGGAGCGCATCAGACAGGTGACACACCAGCTTTGCCAATCTCTGAACTGTTTCTTTTTTGCTGCATTTGTTAACTTTTTGTGAAATGTGCTAACTATATTGGTTATCTTGCATACAGACCTGAATCCAGAAAACATTTTATTTCTGAGGTCTGACTACACAGCAGAGTATAACCCCAAACTGCTAAGTAAGTTGCTCTCCTCTGCCTCCCCCCACCCACCATCTGGGTTCATTTGGCCACTTGCATCCCATTGTGTTTCATTTCAGACACGCGATGACCATCAGCTAAAAATTCCAGACATCAAAATTGCAGACTTTGGGAATGCCACATATGAAGATGAGTACCACAGCCCTGTCGTGACTACTAGTGCATTCCCAGCTCCAGAGGTTATTCTAGGTCAGTAGAAGCCTGTTGTGTGAAAGATCAACCGAAGACTTATTGTATGCTACTGAAGCGTGCTTTAGACGTGGCACACGGTCCTGCCTGAGCTGCTGCACTGTATACTGTGATCAGGTATAAACATGAGCCTTCTGAATCTTTTCACAGGACTGGGATGGTCAGTAACCTATTGGAGGAATCAGATGCCTACAGCCTCTCTTTTCTCCTTCACTTGAAACTGATTATGGCATGCAGGCTACTGTTAAAATCAAAGTAAGGTGAGGTTAGTGGACGGTTCCTGACAACGCCTTCTAACACTGAACAAAAATGTCCACCTTGATTTCCCTCCAGGCCTGTAACAGCAAAGAACACCTGGCAATGATGGAATGAGTACTGGGGGCTGTGCCAAGGCACACAGTACAGAACAGCAGGTAAGGATGTTTTTCCATACCTGCACTGCTAGAGATTAATAAATACAGATGTTTTGAGCTCTGGTTTAATAGCAGTTTAACAGGAAGTTTCATAAACTCAGCTTCCTCCTCTTGCTCTATTAAAAAGCTGTGAACTTACATGCCAGTAAACTTCTAGTGAAGGGATAAACCAGGATCTTTGAATAACAAACTGTGGTCTAAGGACTAACTGTTTAAGGAAACGCAGGTATTTCACTCGGACCCAGCTGGCCTGGAATGAAAACACTCCTGCTGGTCAGCACTTCTCAAGGCTCTGTAAGCAAAGGGAAATTCTTTTGGGGAGAGGAACTTTTGGTGCAATTTTACGATTAAAAGCCCCATGTTCTGACATTTTCTTCCTGAAGGAATATATGACCTGCAGCAATGCTGAGCACAGGAACCTCTTTGATCTGACTGGGAAGATGCTGGAGTATGACCCTGCTGAGCGCTTTACACTTGAAGCAGCGCTGAAACATCCTTTCTTCTTCCCACTGAAATGGGAAAAAAGGTCCTGGTCTCCTGCAGACGAGGATTCCAAGAGAGGTCTTCCAGCGAAGAAACAAACGGTGTAAATACTTGTGCTAAATCATAAACAATTGTTTTGCAAATGTGCTATTTTTTATGGGCATTTCTGCTATTTTTTGTGGATTTATACTAGGACTTTTTGGATATTCCAGTTGAATCCAGCTGCTGGAATAAAACTTAAGAGAGAAATGATGAGCCTGGCTGCATTTCCTCAGTGAATAATGATCATGGGCACTTACACGTCTAACATGTAGATAATTGCAGTCCTTGACATTACGTGTAAGGATGGCCTTCATTTGCTTCAAAAAAAAAAAGTTACAAAGTAAGGAAGAAGATTACTGTAGTTATGGAATGAAACAGCAGTGATCTTTGGGATCATTTTGTCCATTTCATTTTATTTATAATAGGTGTACTCTGGTTACCAGTATTTCAGTTAATGCTCATTATTAGCTTACACCAGTACAGACTTCGCTCCTTAACCAAGTATTTTTCTTGAATTATGAGCTGTCCTGAGAAATTCCATTAAGAATGCAAAGTTTCACGGAGCAGATAAGCTGTTTGGTTTATCATGTCAAATGCCAACATAAAACAATCCCTAAACTTCAGTGGGAAGGGACAGAGTTTTCTCTGCCTTACCTTCCAGCATTTGTGCATTTACACAGCAGCTCAAGAAAGCTGTTGGGTGGCTCTGTGGGGAACAGTATTGCTTGGACTGCCATGGGAGCCAAACAGGCTCCCCCAGGAGCTGCTGCCCAGCTGTAAGGTAGCCAAGACCCCTCTTGGGCTGTGCTACCCATCAGGCGTGCAGGCCACCAGCTGTGAGAGACAGCAGGTTCAGAGATGCCACTTATCGTACCCCTCCAGCACTACCCTTCACTGCCACCGTAACAGCTTCTCTCCAGGAGGACACTGAGCTCCCTCCCATGAGTGGGGCAGCTGCCTCATCCAGCAGCTGGAATGCTTTATGCTGGAAGCGTAGGGAAGAGGTGACAAAGTCCTTGGGGAGTTGGACAACCACCAATGAATGGGGTATCTGGCTCACATGGTGCAGGCTGACATGTCACACCGAGTTACCACACAAGCCACAGCCTCCTGGCTTCAGAGGCTTCTTTCAGGTTCATTTGCAAACAGAACTGGCATAAATCTCATTCACCATAATTATGTGTACTCAAATATAGACAGAAAACCCAAAAAGTAAGATGGATTTCATTGTGGAAGGCCTTAAATTACATTATTACAGTAGAAAATACAGGAGGTAGAATAGAACTGAAAGGACAAATGCAGGTTAGAGTCAAATCTGTAACAGCTCCTGTAAGCTACTTAGAACATGTTTTTAAAAACTAAATCCAGTATCATCTCAATAACTATAGAAAACAGTTAAAAGAAATTGCCATGAGAGCCCTTATATCATGCTTGATACAGGGAGGTAGGATGTAGGAACCAGAAGGACACATGAGACATGACACTTATCTACAGCTCCCGTTTGCTTTGCCAAGGACAGTGTCACAGGTCAGTCACCCTCTTCAGCTTCAGATTCCGACTCTGGAACAGAGAGATCTTGTCAACAGGCTACCCTGCGTAACAGCTGCTATTGGATCCACGTGGATGGCGCTAGCAAGCTTTCTCAGCCAGTACCAGGGGACGCACCTCATCTTTGAGGGACAATTAACCACCCCACCTCACAAACAAGCATTAGTGCACTAAGGTTCCCAACATGAACAAGCTCTACTTGTGAGCCAAGCTGCTGGTTACCTTCTTCAGCATTCTTGAGCCATTCGACAAACTTTTTCATTTGCTCCAGAAAAACACTCTTTCCTTTTGCAAGATGTGCATCTTTATACCACTTGAGGATGGGTTCTTCACTCAGAACTTCAGCTGTAAGATGTGCAAGAGCAATATTAATACAGCAACCCACTCAACAGCAGCTGCTGAGAAGCCCCAGTTGGCAGGCCTTTGCTTCCTCCCCTAGAAGCATCACAATACATACCCACGGAAGGACTATGCCTGGATACACTTCTGCCAGGAGTGCCTCCTGGTTTAAATTCTGAGAACCTTATGTTTCACACTGACTGCACTGGGGGTTTCCCAAGCACTGCACTGAGGAGCACACTATCACTACAAGTCTGGAGTATTTCATAGCTATTTGGGATAACACTCTTCAGAACAACTTCAGTCAACAGCTAAGAACAGATGCAAATTCTTAAAAATTTTACAAATACAATTTTCAGTTTAACAACAGCTTTCTTTATATTCCTGTGGTGTTTCCACAGGTGCACAGTTTGGTTTTTAGTAACACCTCTTAACAGCATCGAGCACCCCAGAACACCTCAGTGGTCTTAATCTCTGGCTGTTCACAGTCAGTGTTCAGACATAAAGCTAAGAATACATTTATCATGTATCCTTCCCTAACTTAAAGGTGACAAAGAGCCTTAAAAATCTAAATTTGATCTACCACAGCTCTTAACATCTAGTAAACAAGCAGCATCCTTGGCACATGGGGAAGTACTCCTCTAGGCAAGGACAGCCACATCCACCTTCACATTTTACTGGTCCATCTTTGGAAAAGACAGAAAATTCTTCAGTTCATAAAGTGCAATGCTGTGGGTACTGATCTTCCCTAAAGATCTTATCAGGACTGAAACATTCTGCAAATACAGGCTTTAAAAAGACAAAACCACCCTCCTTCCCCTGCCAAAACCCACAACCCCACAGAATTTACCTTTATAGAAGAGCACCACTATTTTCTGGAAGGCCTTCATGAAATGAATATTGTCATAACAATACTCCTGAATCTTCAACAGAAGAGTCAGCTCTGACTGACCTTGGGTAGTAAAGGCAGCAAGTAGAGGGCTGTATTGCTGCAAGAGGAATAGGAATGACAGATTAGCACACATGGAACACTTCACATTTATTGCCAAACTGGATTGATTTCATGCAGCCCTGCCCAACAGGTACTAGAGTCCGTACTTCAGTTGCAATACCTTCAAGTGCTTAATGGCTTGCTCTGCTACCAGCTCCTCCTTTTTGTTCCATTCCACTGTGCTCATTACACTTGACCAGATTATGGCTACCACAGTCTGTTCTGAGATGTTGTTTTTCTTCATCTCCTCCTTCACGTACAAGATTATCTGTCAGAATGAAAGAGTCAGCACATAGGCCACGTATGACACTAAGCTAAATTAAAAGCTCTGTTCTAAACATTACACAGAAGCCTTCAGAACCAAACACAGCCCTCTGGTCATACAGCAAGATTCAGGACATTAAGGAAAGACCACAAAGCTAGTACCAAAGCACCCTGGTCCGGATTTTCATTCTTAGCAAAAGCCAAGTTCAATATATAATTAGGCATGTACCTTCAGATTAGTGCTAAATGCTGCTGTTTCAGAAAATTTGAGGTAAGTTCCTACAGGAAAAAAAGAAAAAAAGAAAGCATCCCACCTTGACTACAGCCAATACTTACATCCTTGAATGGATCTCCCCGAGACATCTGCTCCTGAAGCTCTTTCTGCAGCTCTTTCCGAGCTCCTATGGTCTGCTGGTTCCGAACATACTCAGAAAGTTCCTTCAGTCCTGCTTCAGTAAAGTACTTGGAAAAGTGTTCAACACTTTGTTTGTTGGCTGGGAAGAGTTCCTGAAAACAAAGTTTGCAACAACTCTTTCACAAAGTAAGCTTGCGTTGGGTGCTTTGCTGGTAAATGCTAGTCACTAAACTGGCTTAAGTAGTAACTCAGTAATTTCAGTGGTACTCACCATCAGCCTGTTATCCATGTTGACTTTACGAAGACTGACAGCCACTGCATTAATATCTTTCTCATTTATCCATGATTTGAACAGCTTGACTGCAAAAGCTGCAGAAACACCTGTGTAATAGGAGTAGTACTGTTACTATTGACATTAGAAACAAAGGGAATCAGATGGCCTGAGAGTACATGGCACCTAGTTTGCCAGAGCCCTGCTTGAAGCAGTAGCCTCTGTACTCAGAGGCAGACCCAGCACAGTCCACATCACTTCTGCCCAAGGATACTGCAGTCTCTGGCACACTGGACTTCTCTTACCACCCAGCATCACAAAGACTTCCCTATATGAAACTTAACTTTCTGTAAATGTATTTACTTTCTGTAATTTCTGAAGGAGCCTAAAGAAACAACACACCTGCATCCTGAAAGGTCCACCTCCAAAGTACAGGACTACCTTGCTGGGCAACAGCAGTGACGGCAACCCCAGCATCACACAGGGAAATCCTACACACAAGCTTTCTGAAAAGACTTAGCAAGACCTTCCATGTTGCAAGGCAGCATATTTACCTTTGCTAATCCTTTAGTAAATCTATCACCAGATGAAGCTAGTGAGCTGCAAGGGTGTACTGTCACTGCAATTTCTGCTTAACTTGTCATGGTTCTGTCTCCTACCATCCTTCCCTAAATAAGAGTTGGGCAACACTTACCTTCTTTAACCAAGTTCTCATTGTAGAGACTGTTAAGAATTGATGCATTAAGCGTCCCGTTGGCAAGCAGAATACCTGTCAGCATGGCCAGTTTGTTCCGCTCAGACTCTGAGAACCCTTTCAGGAACAGCAGCAACTGCAAGAGGAAATAAGAAGAGTTGCCATAGAACTGCCATCTCTCACTAAAGCTTGACTACTGCCTCCATGTTAGACACTTTTGTTTCAATCAAGCTATTCAACTAACAGAAGCACTACTTCACTGTCAGTCTTCTCCACTAGTCATACAAGCTAGCTGTTCTTCTGTTAACAACTTATAAGTATTCCGTTTTTATAATCCATTGTATGATACAACTCTTCTGTAGAGTGATTAACTACCAGAATTGGAAGGTTTATCTGTTTGCTGTTATGGACCTACTCCATACCTTTTTGACTTCGTCTTCAAAGCCTTTCTCCAGGTACTTGTAACGCCTGATTAGCTTGTTAAAAACCTAGGAAGATATAGAAAGTATTATTTTTTGCTCTGGACTAGCATTTAATTGAAATTAAGAAGAAAAGAAAGAAAAAAAGAAAGAAAAAAAAGGAAAAAAAAAAAAAGGAAAAACCAAACTCAGTAAAGTTAGTCTGAATTCTTTAGAGCACTTTTACCATAGAACAGTGCTACTCTACCTCTTCCAGCAAGCTTCTTAAAGCCATGCATCATTTTTACCTAAACTTTCAACTGCACAAACGTTTCCTTTTTGACCACTGAATAGTGTAAGTTAAATTGTGCTTATTACAGAACTAACCTGAGCAAATGCTTGCATGGTTTCTAGGTCTTCCTGTGCAGCGAATACACAGACGTTTGTGCGTGTCATGTCATCTGCCAGGGTACCACCTGGGGCTAAAGAAGATTTTCTGTGTTAGTGGTATTACTCCCCAGTGAGAGTACCCAGCAGTTCCCCACAGTAAGAGCTGCAATACCCTTAACATGCAATGCATTGTCCTTTCATGAACTGAATGACTGGATCACTGCAGACTTCCATGTGCTCCACTGCTGTAGTGGAACTTTGAAAATCAGTAGCTTATGGATGTTCGTTTAAATATTCTGACCCCCTACTGCTAAATGGATTGGCAACACATCTTGTTTTTCATATGGGTAAGTTAACATGAGCACATGAGCTCCTCTTCCCTTAAAGGAAAACACCAAGACCACTTAATCCTGGCAAGTATCTTTTTAGCATCTGCTACAGTACTGCTGCTTTGTAACTAAGTGTCTTTTAAATAACAAGAGTAAGTCACAACAGGAGAGGGAACACAGATGTTCAAAATTCTGCACCCCTCTTTAGTCTTCCAAGGCACTTCAACTTCATAGCTCCTAATGAGAAGATGATGCTTCACCATTCCTCTTCAGTTTAATACAGGCACTTGATTGCTAGCCAGGCTGCTTCAGTAACTAGGGTGAATTCAAGCCACCAACTCCAGTACTAGAATACCTTATTACCAATTTCTATGCCATCCTACATATAAGGGAGATCCTGCAGTTATGTTTTAGTCAGACACATGACTTAAACATGGAGCATTAACAGTAATAAAAGGTGGTGAGGCAACAGGATGCCAGTTTTCATTTCAGCCTTATATGACTAAAGATTAAACCTAGTCTACTTAGCTACTTGTTACAGCAGAGTGGAGTAAAGGACCCCTAATAGCACCATTAACGCAGTAATGCATTCCCCCCCACCCATCCAGCTTCATTCCTTGGAGGAACACAGAATGCACTGGTTAACTCTTGAATGTGAACCCACAAACCATAACAATCTGTACATTAACAATTTCAAGTAGTGATGCTCCATGTGGCAAATTTACCTATTCATGCTACCACCTCCTGTAACACCAGCAAAAGAGCTTCTTGCTAACAAGAACATCACAGTAACTTCAGCCTGTGTAACACTGTTTGAGATAACCTTTGGGATATGCAGGCACATGAAGTTAAACCACTTTGAAAGCCTTGCTTTTCAGCATTTGAGCAACTCTCCTGACATTTCTGCAAGTATCAGTGTGAAGTTGTCCCCAACAGGCAACAGATGCATCCTCCCAAACCAGCCACCCCCACTGCAGAACTGCCATCCGCTGTCCATCTGTGGCTCAGAATCAGGTATTTCCTCTCCTCCCCTACACATTTAGGTAATCTGAGCCAGTTTTGTTACATTACTGAAAATCTATAACTGCTGAAATTCCCATGTAAGTCCTCCCCCTCCCCATTATTGCATAACAAATGCTAAAACCAGGGACAGATCTTTTCTAGTCTTGGCAGACAACATAAGGGGTCCTCTTCACAGTATTTTAAATGGGTCCCTGCCATCTGAACCCCCTCTCACTGAACAGTATTAATCAAGTAGGAAATGTAAAGTCTAAATCTAAAGTACCACTTCTTTTTGTACTACTTTTGAAACCTCATTTAGCTTCACCTGCTTCTTACCTGTTTGGTGAGCATCTGCCCTGCTCTTTACTCTTTACATGCATTGTGCACAAGAGTTTACAAGACTTTCTGTCATCACATTTCACTTCCTTGGTTCCCTGTTTTCTGCTGACTTGACTACCCCCTCATTTCCCACTCCCTGACATCTGCTAGAGCCCATGGCCTCACTGCTGTCAACATCAAACAATTTGTAATAGCATTTCCAAGACTACACACATAGGATTCTTCTGCAAACAAAACTACTTTCCAAAATAACAGGGCACAAAGCAGAGGACCACATCAGAATCTTTCAGGGCAACTCCTTTTACCTTGCAATCACAGACCACACAACTGAAACCAGCATTCATCCATCTCAAATCACAAACGAACTCGACCAGAGAATCAAGATCCAATCCTGGTAGGAAAAAAAATCTAATATATTTTCATTTATACCAAATTTCTTACAGTCTGCACTTAGAAGAAAGCCAAACTGTGGCAGGTAGGGTGTACAGAGTATTTTTACAGTAATCCAATTGCTTAGCCAGTCACTAACATGGTCAGATAGTTACTGCAGATAGCTTAAACCCTGCCCTACACACTCAATGGGCTCTAGCAGAGTTTTTACACTGAAAGGAAAAGTGAGCTTTTGTCGAGTCAAGAGAACAGAGCATGCCATCAAAGGAACTTACCCAGCATTCCACCAGCCACCAGGATGTCAAAAAGCGTTTCTGCATAGCGGCGATAGTCAAGTTTTGCACCAGAAGCATCAAGAAACTTCGCTACTGCCTCCAAGTCAGTGCCAGTTTCAGTTAAACCTTGAATAATACAGTCTTGGAACTGAGTAGGGTCAAACCTCTCTTTTTCATCTGTAAGAACAAAGCATTGAAAGGAAGTTGCCACACACACCGCTGCTTGGGGTTTGTGAAGTTTGTCATTTCTATCTTATTAAAAAAAAAAAACCAAACCAAAACACAAAACACCCACACCATCCCAAAAAACCCAAACAAAACCAAACTCGCACTGACAAGCCTAACAACTGGTATTAACTGGCACAAATAGTGACTTAACAGTGTAGCCTAAAGTGAATTTCAAAGGCCAATATAGTAGTAAGTTTTACTGCTTTCAGCCCGCTATTCAGTCAAGCTTGACTAAAAAGCTAAACCACTCCTTAGTTACCTCTAATTGAGTTCTTACTATACTTTCACTAAGAACAACAGTTGTTTGTAATAATCATTAGTTTGCCTTAAATAGAAGAGATCTTTAACTCTACTCACCTATCCATCCTTAGACTGTGCAAACCATATGCTTCCAAAGAAACAGAACTCAGTTGCACATCTTACTTTGAGTGCTGTCTGTAACAGCTCACCCAGTTTTGTTAGCATCTGTTAGCAGCCTTCCTGTAAGGGGCAGACTCATGTCCTTACACTCAATGCAAGTATCAACACATTGAGAACAGATGGGTAGAAGTCTGGAAATAGTGGATCTGTTATTTTTCCAGGACAGATCCATGAGGCTGTTACTGCAGAGCTGCCTGGAAGCCAAACTATGGTTAACCGCTTAAAGAGAGACAGAACCTCAAGATGCTAGCATTTCATCTGCTCCACACACTGCAACAGCTTCTCAAGGGGCTTCAACATGAGAATAGGTTCTTTAAGTCAACCTGGACTTAACATCTACAAATTGATTACTGGTTCAATAATATAGCTGAATTAGAAGACTATATCCTTAATGGTGTCAGTTTGAGCTGGAACACTGATAGTATGTTAGTAAAACAGTACTAAACAAACTCTTAAGAGCTGCCCCGCTTCCTCTTTAGGCTTAAGAAACCCACCACCAAATCCTAAATTTCTCATCACACCTCTTCAGTCATCGATGCTTCTCATGGGAATAGCTGCACATACAGATATAGACACTTGCACATCCCACACTCTGAGGGTTTGCGCTTGCTGGTGGTGGGGGGAGTGTTTGTGGGGGTTTGAGTTGTTGTGGGTTGTGGGTGGTTTTTGGTCTTGATTTGTGTGTGGAGGTTGTGGGTTTGTTTTTTTAATTCAAACTAGGTATTCTTACAGCATTCAGGGGACAATATAACTTCTATCCAGTGGGTAACACTGAAATTCTTACCAGGTTAGATGCTCCTTAGACTTACACATTAACCTGCAACAAGCCTGTGCTGGAGCTGCCCTGTAACTCTGGGGTACTGGACACTTCTGCTTTCAGGATAAACACACTCAGTGCAGTTCTACACCCACTGTTCCTTAAGCCAAGGTTATCACAGCAAATTCAGCTACAGCTCTTATTGCCAAATATTTTTTACAAGTGCAGAGAACATTTCAGCACCCAGAGTTAGCACCAACACTGGGTATTTAGTGTGGGCTCATTTAAAAGATTTACGAGGGGAAACCTGTAAAAGCACTGGCTTGTGGTCAGAAAAGGGCTTTTCATGGGGGACCACGCACCGAGAGCGCCGATCGCTTACCTCTCTTTCTAGTTTTAAAACGCTGCCCCGATAGCGTCGGCTTCTGCGGCTTTTGATTATTCATAAAAGACACCCTGCAAGGAAGCACAACACCCCTCAGGACTCGCACCGCGGGGCCCGCCCGCCCGCCCCGGGAGCGTGGAGGCGGCCCTGCCCCCCGCGCCGCTCCTCCTCCCTCCCTCCCTCCCTTCCTTCCTCCCCTTCCCTGGCTGTGGCCGACCTCCATTTTCCCCGCAGCACACACCGCTGACGGGCAGGCGGGGGCCCCCGGCCCGGGCTCCCCAGGCGGAGGCGGCGGCAGAGCGTTGGCGGGACCTGCGTGGAGCCCGCTGCGGAGGGGTCGCCCCCTCATCCCCGCCGCACCGCGCGCAGGCTTCCGTGCCCGTGCGGAGGAAGATGGAGACCGAGTCCCTCCTCTCCGCCTCCGCCCGGGTGCGGTGCGGCCGCTACAGCCCGGCCGGGCCTCGTATGGCGGCAGCCGGCCCCACCCGGCCGCTCCTGCCCCCGGCTGCCCCCCTTGGCCGCCCCGGCCCGGCCCATCCTCCTCACCGACTTTAAGGCAGAGAGAAAACGCCCAAGCGGCCCGGAGCGGAGACGGGCGCGAGCACCAGCAAAGTGAGGCGGCAACAGCGACGAGAGCCTTGCAGGCAGAACCAACGCGAGAGAAAGAGGGGAGGGCCGCGCTCCGCCCCGCCCCGCCCGGCACGGACTATCCCGCTCCACCAGAGAGGTTGGAGGGATAAAGGGCCAGGGTCAGGCTGGGCTTCTCCAGCTCCGCCTGCTCCCCGCTGCTGGCGCTGCCAACCTGCTGGCACCCAACGCTCATCTCCCTGGGGCGCTCCCCATTCCCCATGAGTGGAGCTCTCCGTTCGACCCCCCCCTTTCCAGGAATGAGCGCGTCCACACACCCCCCGCCCTCGTGATTTACCGTCACACGCCAGTAGCCGCCTAGTGCGTCGCCGCGCCGGCGCTGAGCGTGCAGCAAGCCAACTGGGAGCCGGGGCGACCCCTGGCGGCGGTGCCCGGAGGGGGCAACCGCACCGCGTGTCCCAGGCTGGAGCCTGCGGGGTGGGCTGCCCTCTGCCCTCTAGCCAGTCCGGTAAGAGGTGTCGGGCAGGTTCCAGTCCTGCGATGGATGGGGCTTGGGCATCCCGCTGTGTGCGGCTGCGGTGAGTAGGGCCCGTGCCCCTAGGGAAGACGTCATGGGACCCTGAACGTAACTGCTGGTTGCTCAGCCCCGTTCCCACTCAGTTGTCTCCTTGGAGCCCATATTCAGTCTTTGGTAGAATCAAGTCGGTTGGAAAAGACCTTTAAGATCGTCAAGTCCCACCGTTACCCCAGGACTGTCAATACCACCACTAAACCATATCACCGAGGGCCTCTTCGTGGTTTGTAAACGCTTACAGGGACGGTGACTCCCCCCCTTCACTGGGCAGCCTGTTCCAATGCCTGACCACCCTTTCATTGCCAGACCGACAGCGCAGCACATAACTGGACATGTCTACTAGGTAGACTTCTCCAGTTGTATCCAGAATATAGCAACGTGCAGCATCCTCTCCACACTGATACAGGCCAGGAGATGCAATGGCAACTCAGTTCTTTGCTCCCCAAAAAAGCAAACCACTAAACTAACCTCGGGGTCAGAAACTTCCCTCTAGCCCTTACACAGGTACCAAATTTCCACCAGGTGTAAAGTGTAATGTTCCTTTGACTAAAGCTCTTGAAATGTCCACTTACCAGGTATATAAACAGAGTGAGTCACTGCGCTCCGGTGGGGGAAAGTGGGGTCACCTGTGTGAACATGACCTTTTAATTGAGGTCACCCCTAGCTCTATTTCTGTTTTATCCCAACAACCTGCTTCCTCAGCTGTGAATCTTTTGTGTGGCCTAGCAGGGAGGTCATTGCACCTCTCAGCTAAACTGTAGTTTTCAGAAGAAAGAAAGAAGTGTTAACTACCTGTGTTCTTACACAGTGCTCCAAGTAACCTGCATCAGCCACTTGCAAACAGGGGAACACACCAATTCTGGTCTTTTTTTTTTTTTTGTTAGACATTCTTTGAAAACCTTATCCCTAATACATCAATATATAGGAAAGCAAACAACAAGAATCTGCAAAATTCTTTGATCCAGGCAGAACTGGTCCTGCCATCTTACTCAGTTGACTATCTGCTGTCCTACTCAACTGATTATCTTAAAGTAATGCCATATCTCCAGTGAGGCTGCCTACCTTCCACTGTCTGTTCTTGCCTAGACTGCAGGCATTGCACAATCACCCATCCCAGCATTCACTTAGGTATGCTACCCTCACAGGTTAAAACTAGAGTAAAACTGGAAGTAGTAAAATCAGTATTTTGTTCATTCTGCAAGACATATATGCTGGGTATATAAAAACCTGAATGCTTTAAGAGTAAGGAAAAAGTAAGCCTATGCTTGCCATGTTGCCCAGGGAAGTTGTGAATGCTCCATCCCTGGCAGTGTCCAAGGCCAGGTTGGACAGAGCCTTGGGTGACATGATTTAGTGGGAGGTGTCCCTGCCCATGGCAGGGGGGTTGGAACTTCATGCTCTTAAGGTCCTTTCCAGCCCTAACTATTCTGTGATTCTATGTAGGGACACACGAATGTATGAAACCATCATCCTTTCTGGAGCTAGAGTGATTGTACTTGTACCTGGAAGTACTATACAGTTTATCTCACTCATACAAGATGACTTTTCCATGCTTTTGAGAGCCTCAATTGGAGTAAATACAATTTCTTTAGATGAATATGTTAGGGGCTGCATCAACACGCTAGAGGTGAGGCTGATGGAGCTCTATTCTCCAAGGTCCAACCAGTAGCAAGGGTGAGTGTGTATTCTCAACAAGCAAACATGCAAACACGTGTAAAACATACATAGATGAAAATAGAGCTGGCCACACAGGTTAACAGAGAAATACTGCACTAATGCAGACACAGACAGCACCAATGCCCTTGTCCTGTTTTCCTCTCTGACTAGCATGAAGGTCCATTACTGGGAAATACATGGAGAGATACACATACACACAGTAAGGACCCCTCTGGTAACTGGCCTTAGACACTCAGCCTATGAAGTCCCAGTTCTCCCCCCTGCTGTCACTGGTCCATAAGACCCCCAAGGCCCACAGTCCCACTCCTGTGTGTCTGTTGCTATGAAATTCATTACTGCACCAGATTAATGGGAAAGCATCAGGCTTGCCAAGTCACATGTTTTGAACTTTAAGCTCAAACAATAGCCATTCTTATTGTCAGTAGGAGCCAGATTTCATCTCACACCATTTTTGTTACTATTGTTTTCTCCTTGAAACAATACTGGTTATAGATCACAGTGCCACAAAATAGTAGGAAAATGTCTTAGAAGTTTGCTTTTATTGAAGACATATTTAAGCAAATCCTGTTTAACAGCTCAATGAAATCCCCAAAATAGCACATTCAAAAATACCCAAAAGGAGATCACATTCAGAGGGAGGATATTCACCTTAGTATTTGTTCATTCATTCTAAATCCAAGGCACTGATTTCTTTGGTACTCATTCTAAAAGGAGAGCGTTTTTCTGAATTACAGTTAAATAAGAAGACAAGAAGATAAATAACATGTTAGGAAAATTGCATTTTAAGGTAAAGAACACAAAGATATGATAGTTCCTGCTGCCAGCTCCTGGAAGTGTTTGATATTCCAAAATTGCAAAAGCATATTGCCAGCTGAGCTTTTTGCATTAGCTATAGTCTCACAATTTACCAAGAGAAATGAACAGGAAACCTTTACCAACATAACCTGTCAATTTCTTCATTATTAGTAATATTAATTTATTTGTAAAGAAATAAAATCTTGGTGCACCTCTACAGATTTAGGTTAAATACGATTTACTTAAGGGTCATACTTCTTCTATAGCATGCTAATTTAAGCCTGAAATCTCACCCTTAAAATAAATGAAAATAGTCCAGATTTATGTTTATGTAAATGAGTCCAGGATCTGAACTAATGCAATACCTGTTGAGTATCTCCAGTTATTTCTTATGCTAGTGTTTTGGATACACAAAGACATTAAATGTGTTCTTACTGTTAATTTTATTGCTTTGACCTATCAAATGTTAAAGTCAAATAAATTTGCATGTAAACGTAGGTTGGATCAGCTCAGCCATTTCCTTTTCTCCCTCTCAAACATCTTTGCACTTTCTTTTCAGTCTCCTCTCCTCACAGGGAAATGCTCCATCAAGATTCATACAGCTGCCACAGCATCACTTTAAACTTCTAAAGCAATGTCTGCCAGAGTGCCAATAATGTTGTTTGGCACAGTTAAACTGGGAGCCGACACACCTGTTTTTAACGGTGAATTTCTGTTGCTGTTGTTTCCTCTTAGCCCTTTTCCCCTCCACCTTTTTATCTAAGACACCTGCTGCATATTTGTTACATATAGCTGCTGATGGCTGCAATGGGCAATTTCAAAATGAATGTTTTAGGTAAGGAGACTATGAGGTTTTGCAGATATGGTGGTCTATCCCTCTATCTCTTTCTTACTGATTTATGTTATCCCAGAAATCCTCACTTCTTCAAAGGTGGTATTGGAACCTGTCCTGCTATTTAACCCTTCCTACCTCCAGTACACCTCCCTCACCTTGTGCCCTCTCCTTACCTACAGATGCCATCAGCTATGTCCTTCTTCACTGTTTTACTGGAAAGAAGCAGCAAAATTGTGGGTAAAGCAAAGGAGAGGAGTGAATGCTGACAATACAGAGAATAGCAATGATTATAATCCAGCCCTGAGAGAAGTCAAAATCAACAGTGGTTCTGAGACAAGGAGTCACAAAAGCACAAAATGTAATCAGTTCTAAGCAATGTTAAGTGTGATGGCTTTGTAATGGAAAATAACCACTGCTTGAAGGTAGTTGACATAGTTTCAGGTCCTTAGGACCTTAGTACAAAAGGTGTAAGAAAAGCAGAATAGAAAAACAGGACCTGGGGATGGGGAGTATCTGGGACTAGCAGATGTCCAGGGTGGGCACAGATAAGCTAACTGGTAAGTAAAAGTGCAGGATGATTGCTATGTCTGTAATGTTAATGAAGCTTGTTGGGAAAAATAAACGACCCTTAAAGACCACCACATTTTTGTATGCATGCCGGAAACTTTCTGGAAAATGATGTAATATGCCCAGTGACAATATAAGGATGGCCTGCATGGCAATACGGGGACACACGTTAGGAGGAGCTATCCCCCGTGTCTCCCGGCACCGCAATAAAGAATACCTGCTTGTCAACTTGAAACTCTGTTGGCGAGTTTGTTCCTGCAGTTTTCTCCGAATCAGTTCAGAGAGAACTAGTGGTATGGAGCAGGTCTGAGGTGGTCTGCCAGGAAGCAAAGAGCTATGCTGCGGTATTATGTGGTCACTGTGGTAATAATAATACAGCAGTGTCTAGAAAACTTTTGCCATTTCTGCTCTACTGTAACATTGATATATTGCTTATCACTAGTTTGTACAGTGTCTAGTTCTGATCCTCGGGATTTTCAAGTACCAGAAGAACAGAAAGAGTGGGTAACAATAGTTATGAATCTCAAACTAGATGCAGAAGTGGCAAAATGGTACTATTTGTGACCTGCTCTTCATTGAAGGTATTTTCAAAATTGCAGGTGAATTCTTGCAAGTTCGTGGGGTAACTCCAGAATTATTCCGGTGTAGCATGGAACACAATTTGATTTA